CATTGGCTGTGAACATTCTAAACTAACACGCATCTCATTAAGTGTCCAGTTTAAGGGTATTACACAGAAACATACCAAGGGAACATGAATCAAATATGCACTTTTATTCATTTACAATAAACTCATAAAGTACATTATTCTGATTGAAGCTAAGGGCATACAAAACTATCTAACATGTTCCATGTTGTACTGTTTGATTTGCAACAAAACACCAACCATTTACATGCACTTTATTTTGTATAAGTGTTTCTTAAACAAAATTGAAGTTATGAAGCTCCTGTTGAGATTGTTCAGATTATGAGAGAGTGCATGCATTCATGTAAATGAATAAATCTCCTTTTGAATCTGTTTGTCTCTGAAGTTCCTGTTGGATCTATCATGTATATATGAATTAATGAATCACCACTCAATTATTCTATCAATTTTTAGAGTAGTCATAGTTACACTATATACTACATCGTATTTATTTGGGATGTACTTCAGTTAATGTGATATACACTTATATCCAAGTATTTAATAAGCTTTAATTCTGGTTGAGAAATAAGTGTTCTTTATTTCAAGTTTACAACCTTTTTTTCTCCCTGTACTTGGTTATATTGTTGATGAATCTCGTTAACGAGAGACTCTTTGGTTCTTGTTTAGAGGGACGATAGAAATGGCATGTCAAGTTCCACATTGTCCGCCCAGCAGTTCATGGACCCTGGTCCATCTGGTGCACTAGACCTTGATGAGCAGCTGCATTCCGACGACGAAGAGACCCAAGAACAGTTGCCTTCTCCAACTAGCAATAAACGCGATCATGTTCATGACACCAATCAGATCTCCAAGAAAAGACAGTCGATTGACGATGGTCCTGAGCAAACACCGCAGAGTTGGGGTGGCCAAAAGAGTCCCGAGTTGGCCAAGGCCAAGGGTGTGGAGCAAGTTTCTGAGGTGCCTTGTCGAAAGGCCAGAGTCTCGGTACGAGCACGATCTGACGCGCCCTTGGTAAGCTAAGCCCCATCTTCATTTTTTCCTAGTGGTATTAGGGTAAATTGCTGAAACCTTTATTGAAGGGTGTTGGTAATTGCAATCATTTCTTCTAAACTTTTGATACAGTTGCCCTCTCTTTAAATCCTTTAACAAAAGACATAAAAATGTCTAAAATATTAATATAAACTGCAATCATTTTTCAGAAAAAAATAATACAAACTTTATAAACAATAAAAAAAAATAGAGAATTAAAGTTGCAATTTCATCTTTGAATGATTGATATAAAGGACAAATTTAAAAAATAATTCAATTTCAATAAAAAGATTGAAAAGGTTTGGACTAGTGATTTATATGAAAAAAAATTTAAAAAATAAATATTTTAAACATTTTAATGCCTCTTTTTTAGAGTATTCAAAGGTAGTATACTTATTGCAATTATGTCAGAAAGTTCAGGAAAGGTTTTAGCACTTTACCTTTATTATTATCTATTAGATTACGAACAGTTTAAATTGTTTGGATCAGATCAGCGATGGGTGTCAATGGAGGAAATATGGTCAAAAGATGGCGAAGGGTAACCCTTGTCCACGCGCCTACTACCGCTGCACCATGGCAGTTGGATGTCCAGTTCGTAAGCAGGTAATTAATTTCTCTTTTCTTGTCTCCTAAGTAAAATGATATATTATCAAACTCATAAAAATGGATTTTTTTTTTCTGATTTTTCGAACGCATGGCTCCACTTCCATGTTTTCGCAAATTTGTATCTCTCGATTAGTTGATTTTTTGGTTTTGCACAGCCCCCTTTGTTTTGTTGTTAAAGGCAATTTAAATCCATTACAAACTGTCCTTAATTCACAAATATTTTATAGAGCAAAATCTATTAGTTTTATTTTAATTTAAAAATCACTATATATATATATATAACAAAAAATTAAGTAACTGAAAGCATATAAGTTCTTAACAGAAAACAAATAAAATGGATCCTATTGCCTTTTCACAATTTGAATAATGGTTTTAGTTTTAAAGGCTGAGTTTGAAAAGAGTACAAATACAAATTTGTAGAGTACAAAATTTTATATTTTGTATTATTTTATATGTATTTGCATTTTATATATTTGTACTCCTTCCAAAACTGAGTCAAAGGGAAGTGTTCGGATGCAATGAAGGGGATCAATGTAAAATTGGAAAAGACATAAAATCTCCATCAATCGTTGGATCAGTTCTAAATTGGAGCTTGGAGTTAGAAGGGCTCTCTTCTATAATACACATGGAACGGCCCCGAACTCATATGGGAAATTTATGTGGTAAATATTTTGTTTTGAGTCTCATTATCCAAGCAATAAATCTGGAAGCATTTAAGCTGATCATTTTTTATTCTCGGATTTAAGACATTAAATTAGTTCTGATTTTTAATTACTTATTTTGATTTGTTATATTTGAGCTAATTGACTAACTTGATCAATTAGAAAACAACACTATTCCGAAGGCTACCCATACATAGGAAAGCCGGTCCTGTAATGGGTGGACATTGGACAAAGATTGCATGAATATTTAATAAGAAAATGAGAATAAAAGAAACAATATGAGAGGTTAGGTTTTTGGGGGCTCCGAATTCTCTATTGGCTAGTGGGGAGAGTATTCCTCTGATGGCACATACCAACTCGTTAAATATCGTGTATTTCTCGATGATTTCTTTACCTACTAAATGTCAAATCACAACTGAATGAATTAGCATGATATCATTGAACCAGCAGAGGATTGCGGAGCAGTTTTTGGGATGGAAGAGTGTTAAATACGAGAAGAGATAGGAGAGAGAATCTTGGAGAAACGAAGTGGTAGGAGTTTCAGGAATCGGAAGCAAGTTAGAAGTAGGGAGGATATGAACCTCACATCTTGAATTAAATTATGCATCTTTGGTAAAAATCGTAGGGAGAGCCATTTAATCGTCTCTGTGCTATAATGTATTGTATATAGATATTGGATGTAGTGTTGGTCACTACCTCCCATTGATATCTTCTCTTAATTACTAACCAGAATCCATGGATGAACTCATGAAAGTGCTCTTTGCATATAAATTTTAAAAATAAATGATGAAACAAATTAACAGAGGATGAGATAGATGGCCATGGTCATCAAATCAGGTAGAACTTGGGAGATCTTTCAGGTAGTAGATCATCAGAGTTTTTAACTCTTCATGTCATCGCACTTCTTCTGCCAATTTCAGCAACCATGCACCATTATATAATTAAAATGTGATTTCTATTGTGAACAGGTGCAAAGATGTGCTGAGGACAAGTCCATTCTTATAACAACCTACGAAGGAAACCACAGCCACCCCCTTCCACTAGCAGCGACGGCAATGGCTAACACAACTTCGGCAGCAGTGGACATGTTACTCTCAGGGTCCACGACTAGTAAGGAAACCCTAGCGACCTCCGGCTTCTTTCATCCTTTACCCCATGCATCTACCATGGCCACTCTATCTGCCTCCGCACCTTTTCCGACGATCACCCTCGATTTGACTCAGAAACTGAATTCTATGCAATTCCTACAAGCTCCACCTCCCACAACACCACCCTTCCCAGTTCCCTTGCATGGCTGCACACAGCTCCTTGGCGGGCAGCCCGTGTACATTCCCCCAAAACTACCCTTAGTGCCTGCAGAAATGCAAGTGGGGCAGCGACAACTTTCTATGGTCGAGACCGTAACTGCGGCAATAACCACCGATCCTAATTTCACCGCTGCTCTAGCTGCAGCTATTTCGTCCATAATAGGTACACCCCGTAGCAATAATGGCGGCAATAGCAACAACAATAGCTCCCCTTCTGGGGCTCGCGCATCGCCTGAATCACCACAACTTCCCCAATCCTGCACCACTTTCTTGACCAACTAGAGAGACAATACCAACAGTACTGAAGTTCAGATTGCCCACATTGAAGTGTGATCATGATTACTATGTTTTGGCAGAGACATAAGGACTAGTAAAAAGACCATATATGTCTCACACGGTCGTGGTGCCGGGCAAAGAGGATTTGCTCTTAATCGATTTCCTACGCGCGCCTCTGCGGAAGTGCGGACTCACCTTTGTTTTGCTGAAAAAGGAACAAAACTGCATTCTTTGTTAATTGAAATTTGAGTACGCATTTCGTTTTGTTGATTATATATATTGTTGGTGTTATTAATTCGGTATATGTTTTGTTACTTAATTAATATATGCTTTAATTTTAAAACTTCGAGTGAGGTGTAATGCAGAATTGATGGAGTATATGAGTTTGTCCTGTGTTGGAGAAGCCAAGTAGTATACATTGATGTTCATGTACAGAAAGTACTAAAAACAAAGGTCCATGTACAGTATATTCACAATTTTGTGTGTAATCGGATATATTCTTTTCTTTTTTTTTTTCAATAAAATTTAGGTCTTTTTAGCTAATCTCCATAGAGCAATACTCATTGATATTTCTGCAAGTTTCAGTAGTTTTTTGCTTAATAAAGGATCATTTACTAAAGCATATGGATTTATTAAAACCTATATGGCTGCTATACCCTCTAGTTTGCATTTTATTAAAACACCCCTGGATCTCCTGTCTTCGAACAGGGTTACCTCCTGTCTTCACACAGGGTTTTGAATTCCTTTCCCTCTACATCTTCTCCTCTTTTGTCCACCTGTTTAATTAACTCTTTTTCTCATCATACTCCTCTCCTGCAATTTTCATCTTTTTAATATTACTTTTACTCATGGATGATGACGAACTTTTGCATTCCATATCAAATCTGGGTCTACCTCCTCCAACTGAACCAATTCAGGCTGCTAAAGAGGATGCTCTCTCCCAAGTGAAGAATGGAATTGGTCACTTATTTTTACGGTTCTCATGATCTTAGTTATAAGATTGCTGGATTAAGGAAGTTGTTTGTAAGGCTTGGAAGTATGAAGATTCTCCAGTATTGGATTTTGGTGATAAACCCTTTTTTATTAGATTTCCTACTAGTTTTGATAGAGACTAGTTTGTTCAATCGGTTTTTTTTTTTTTTTTTGAAGGTTTTAATCATGTTCCATTCATTCAAGAGATTGGTACAAAGAGATGCCAACAAGGCCAAGTAAAGATTAGAGATACATTCTCAAGAAGAACAAAACAAAAAGATGGATTTAGGAGAATTGAAAGAACTTCTGCAACCAAAGCAAGGTGACTTGACATCACCAACAGAAGTGGATAAATACATTTCCATACCACCATAACTGACGAGCAAACTGACAAGAGGAATTACTAACTAAAACGAAAACTGAAGGAGGAGGTTGCATAGCCACAAGTCATGAACTGTAACTTCCAACCACTCCAAAAAAACCACAAAAGACGACATCATCTGTAATTGCCAACACACCGAAGAACTGTTGACTGCAAGCTGCCATCCAAAGAACACCGGAGAACTGTAACACCCATCTACAACGCCGGAGAATTGTAACGTCCATCCATAATGCCGAAAAACTGTAACTGCCATATGAAAAGCCAAAGAATTGAAACTGCCATCCAGGACGTAGGAGCAATATCACGGCCATCTAGGACGCCAGAGAATTGAAACTACCGTCCAAAACGCTGGAAATGGCAAAACAAGGGGCAAATCCACCGGTGATTTTGCAAAAAGGAGACTTGAGCAGGAATTCCATATAAAAAAGCACACAGAAAGAAAGCAAACAAAGAAAATCAAGGAAGAGGAGAGAAATGGAGGAAACAAGGAGAAACAAAAGAACAAACGAACAGAAGGGAAACGGAAGAACATAAAAAGGAGAAGGAGAACAAAAGAACATAAAATGAAAAAAAAAACTAAAAAACAGAGAACAAATGGAGAACAAAAAAAGAAAACCAGATGGAGCACAGAAGAAGAAAAACAGATGGAGCACAGAAAAGCAAGAGAACAGATGGAGCACAGAAGAAGAAAAACAGAGAAAAACAAACAAAGAACTGAAGGGACAAGACATCCTCGAGAGATCTCGAGTTGGAGCATGGAGTATCAATGCCCAACTTGGATATGTCGGTCCCATCTAACATCGTTATGTGGGAGTGTTTCTCGCGTTCCCAATGTTCCCATGGAACGGGAATACATTTGGCATGACACTTTCGATTATTCCGTGTTCTTTTGGAGCGGAAATGATGCATTCCCAGCTCATTATTTTTGAGTGACTAGGACATCGCTCTGTAGGAATGAGAAACTAGGAACACGTGGTTCCCACGACGTCATTGTTAAGTAACGAACACGTGTATAGGTTCCCCACACGTTGAGTGGGATTACAATGGTAATTTCATAACTTTTTAGCCATAAGAAAGCCTTAGGTGGCAAACACTTTTCAGACGTACGTTTGAAAAACTTGGTTTTCAGACGTTGGATGTGTTTGGTTAACGTCTGATTCGAAGGTCTAAATCACAAATTAAGATCTGAAATGGTAAGAGCTCACTTAGTAACTTAATGCGCTCAAACACATTTTAGATGCTGCCTTATGTCTTAAATGCCCCTAAATATTTTGAAAATGACCAATATTACCTCTTAATATACCCATTTCGAACCCTAACATCGATGCCCCTTTCAAATGGGAAATGGATCCTCTTGTTGCTAGTTCATCCTATGCCATTCATCCTTTTCTACTTTTTCTTTTGTTCCTTTTGTTTCCTTGCGCCATTCATCCTACGTTGCTATTCTTCTCTATCTCTGAACAGAGAAAAGAGAAGATGCCATCACCAAGTAGCTCCACGGTGATGATGGCACTATTATTCTTTTGCTTCCTTTGTCTCTAAGAAGATGAAGCCATCCTTAGACGATCACAGTTCCACGGGGGACGATGGCATTGCTATTCTTTTGTTTCCTCTATATCCGAGAAGATGAAGTCATACTGGGAGGTCGATTTCTCACAACTCCAACTAGCTCCACTCATAGCTCTTTTGTGGATGTTGATTTCTCACAGCTATTCTTTTGTTTCCTCTTTTGTTGTCAATGCCAACAATACAGTTGTGGATGTTGATTTCTTCAACTTGTTTGAGGACGATTTGGATGATACCAACATCAATTGAATTGAAGAACTCTAATCTTTGCCCTAGAAGTTTTTGTTTGTCCATTGAACTGGTCAAGGAATTTCTAAACAACTAATGTTCCTTCTCCAATTTTGAATGTATTGTGTTTGAGGGTTTTATTTTCCTTGTGATTGTAGGTTTATGAGAGAATTATGCCTTTCGTGTTTTTTTAAGTCCACCTTTGTACTTTGATTGCATTTTACTTGTTTGTTTTATTGTTTCAATGAATACAAGGGTTTTAATTTGAATTCAAATTTACGCAAATATTTTGTTTTTGGGTAAAATAGTAAAATCCAACCATTTCAGATGTTGGAGAAATGTTCTAACACAAACAATATTATCTTTTCAGAGTCTCTAAAAAGCAAGAAAGCATCCATATTGGTTTTCAGATTTCAGACCTAAATAATAGCTTTCTCACATTTCAGATCTCAGATTTCAGATTTATGCCACCTTAGTTAGGCTTAGCTGGGTTCTTCTTCTTCGTACCACCAACACACTCTCAAGCCTTTGCAGAGCTTCGACTAGGCTACAATCATTCGATCGGTTGTGTTTTTCAGCTGTTTTTCTTGCAATCAATCTTCACCTTCTTTATGCCGCATAGGTAAGAGCCTTCACTCCTTGCTTAGTTCATTTCGCTGTGCTTTTTACCCTTGTTTATTTTTTATTTTCTATCTCTATTTGACATGCAATTTGCTTGCTTTTTGTAGAAATGTATTAGGTTTGAACTTCCTCTTCAGATTAACGAAAAAATGTATTGTAAAAAAGTATCGGTTTATGCCATTGAATTGATCTAGCTTATTTAAGTAGTTTGATTAGATCAAACCACTAGTCTTAGCCATTCAAATAAACTGTCATGCATGATCTAAACTCTAAAGGCTTATCCTGGTTCTCCCACCTTCAAACTTGCGGTTTTCCCACCTTAAAAAAATAACAATAAAAAGCATACCCAACATGGGATTCTTGGTCAATGGGAACCAAAATCCCATTGACCAGCTTTCCCCCTTCTCAAAATCCAAAAAAAGAATGCCCCCCAAGTAACAATTTGCCAAACACTAGTGTTATTCCCCAGGAACCAGAAATTCCATTCCTGTTTCGGAATAGTAATTTCTCTAGGAGTAGGAACAAGTAGGAACAATGCCAAATGAGGCTTAAGTTTCAGAATTGATCTTGTCCCAGAGCTTTGGTAAAAATATCGGCTAGTTGGAGCTTGATAGGCAAGTGAGCAGCAACAATAAGTCTGGACTGAAGATGATCACGTATAAAATGACAGTCAATGTCGATATATGTTTGGTTTGCTTGTGAAAAACTGGATTAACCGCAATATGAAGGGCTACTTTGTTGTTGCAGTAGAGCTCCATGGGCTGAGAATGATTTAGACCTAAATCCTTGACGAGCCTTCACAGCCCATAGCAATTCACTAGTAGTAGCAACAATAGACCTATATTCAGCCTTGGTGGAGGAACGGTAAACCATTGTTTGCTTCTTTGTTTTCCAAGATAATGGTGAGTAGCTTAGAGTGGTGAAATAGCCTATAGTGGACCAACGTGTAAGCGGGCAACCAACCCAATTGGAGTCATAGTAACCTCTAATAACTAAGTCACTCTTGGTTGATAGTTTGATGCCTTGATCTGGACATGACTTCAAGTATCAAAGAATGCACAAAGCTGCCTCCATATGAGACTGGCATGGCTTGTTCATGAACTGACTGAGAATATTAATTTACTGGATATGTGATCTCTGGCCGGGTAATGGTCAAGTATATGAGTCAGCCAATTAGACATCGATGCCAATTTGGATTTATAATTGGCAGTCCATCATCAAGCCCGAGTCGATGTTGTTGCTCCATGGGAAATGTACATGGCTTGCATGCTGGCATTCCTGCATCACATAGTATGTCTAAAGTGTATTTCCTTTGATAGAGGAAGAAGCCATCATCAGTCCGAGAGACTTCAATGCCTAGAAAATATTTTAAGGGCCTAAGATCTTTGATGGGAAAACATCGCTGAAGATATAGCTTCAATGCTACAATCTGAGAGGGGTTGTCTCCTACAATGAGTAGGTCATCAACTTATGCAAATGTGGCAAGAGTAGAGCCATGACTATGCAATGTGAAAAGTTATCAGTAGAAGATTGGACAAACCCCGTTGTTTAAGCACTTGATCTAGTGTATAGAACCAATTCTGATGGGCTTACTTTAGTCCATAGATTGATTTGTTAAGGCGGCAGACCCAAGGATCCTCTAGTGTAAGTAATCCAGGAGGTGGAAGCATGTATATTTTTTCACGAAGTTTGCCATGGAGAAATGCATTATTGTTGTCCATTTGATGGACTTCTCATTAACGGATTGTAGCTAGTGCAAGAAGACATCGTATTGTCACAAGTTTTGCAACTGGAGCATAGGGTATAGTTAGTACCTTCTGCCTAAGTATATCCTTTGGCCACTAATAGGGCCTTGAATCCTATGGCCCACTTGCATTCGATGGCTTGGTCCTATAGACCCACTTGCATTTGATGGCTCATTTACGATGAGGTAGCATTGTCAAAATCCATGTATTGGTGTTATTAAGGGCATTAAGTTCAGCCTACATGGATTACTTCCAACATGAATGTTTATAGGCTTGATCATAGGTAATGGGTTCTGATGTCGTGCAATCTGGAAGCTCCTTCGTGTCTAGTGACTTAGACTCCGATTTGGACATCTACCTTGTGGTGTGTCCAGAAGCGCGTTGTTAAACATTCTGAAACACTAGTTTAAACATTTATAGTTTTTACCGTTTCTTAAACAATTACTAATGCAGTCAAGGGATGAAAACAGGCCGTATCCACAGGGAAGCAAGTGAAAAATTAATATATACTTAGATCCGGACAAGAAAATGCAATTGGGAATGGCAAAAAATACGAAAATAAAATCTATTATTGCTGAAATTAAATGTTTCGAATTTAAACAAGACAATAAATAAAAACCAGAAATTAATAAAGTATGAGAATCAACAAAGGAAATAAAATAAATAAAAAAATGATCCATAATCCGGATCCGGTGGCGGTAGCTGCAGATCAACAGACAGCTTGTAAAAACCCCTCCAAACAAGAACCGGTTGTCCGTCCTTTCTACAACCCTCGAACCCCTCGAGACACCTTAGCCTTGAATCGAACGAATTCAGATCTGCAAAACAGAGAAACGAATAAGAATTAAATTTAAAAGATTACAAAAATAAAAATAACAGAAGAGACAATAAAGAAAAAAGAAGAATGGTTGATTAGATCTAGTACAGCTTGCAGGAATCCCTCTTGACAAGATCTGAGCATCATCCTCTTTTACAACCCTTGAACTCCTCAAGAAACCTTAGCCTTGTTAACTGCGTGAATTCACCAACCCCTTCTCCAAGGCCCTTGAGGTCATTTTTATAGAGAAGGGTGGATAAAACTAGGATTAGAGAGAAATTAATAAAGTATGGGACTCCAATCGGGTATAAGTCGGAGTCCCATACTTTCCACGTATTTCTCAAACACTTTCTGTGTTAGTGGCTTAGTTAATGGGTTTGTTACATTTTCCGCTGATGCTACCTTCTGAATCAGGATGTCCCCTCTTCCAACCATCTCTCGCAGTACATGGTACTTCCTCTCGATGTGCTTCGACTTCGAGTGGGCTCATAGCTCCAATGTTGCCGCACAACATTAGAATGGGTGATGTGCTGGATGGAACTACTCCTAATTCCTGAATGAACTTCATTCAAACGATTTCCTTGGCAGCTTCATTTGCGGTAATGTACTCGGCCTCGGTTGTGAAATTTGCGGTGGACCCATGTTTGCTGCTTTCCCAGCTAACAACACATGATCCTATCGCGAAGATATAACCAGATATAGACTTTCTTTCATCTAGATCTGACTGGAAACCGACATCAGTATACCCTTGGATCTGTAGTGAACTACCATAAAAAAACAGACAAAACTCTTTTGTCCTCCGAAGGTATTTAAGTATATTTTTCATAGTGGTCCAATGTTCCTGCCTTGGGTTAGATTGGTATCTGCTTACTACACTCATTACCTAAGAAATGTCAGGACAAGTGAACAACATGACATACATGATGCTCACTACGACTAAGGCATAGGGGATCTCTTTCATGTCCTTAATCTCTTCGGGAGTCTTGGGAGACATACCTTTGGAGAGAGTGATCCCGTGTCTGAAAGGAACATTTCCTTTCTTGGAGTTCTCCATGTTGTATCTGTTGACTATCTTGTCAATGTAAGCAGACTAGGATAATTCTATTATCCTCTTTGATCTATCTCTATAGAGTCGAAGACCCAATATGTAGGAGGCTTCTCCAAGATCTTTCATGGAGAATTGTTGTGAAAGCCACACATTCCCCGTAGTTAACATTCCTATATCATTCCCAATGAGTAGAATGTCATCTACATACAAAACCAAAAACGTAACCTTATCCCCACTGGTTTTCCTGTAAACATAGGGTTCATCCAGATTTTGCTCAAAGACATTGTTTGGCGGTAGAGTCAAACCAAATGTTCAAATTAGAAGCTTGCTTAAGTCTATATATGGATCGGTTGAGTTTACATACCATATGTTCCTGAGTTGTAATTATGAAACTTTGCGGTTGCTGCATATAGATATCTTCAGTAAGATCTCCATTTAAGAACGTGGTTTTGACATCCATTTGTCAAATCTCATAGTCATGGTACGCTACTACAGGTAACAGGATCCTAATGGATTTAAGCATGGCCACAGGAAAAAATGTTTCATCATAATCGATTCCCACTTTTTGAGTGTACCCTTTCGCCACAAGACGAGCCTTGTAGGTCTCAACTTTATCGTCGGGGCCCTTCCTCTTATAAATCCATTTGCAACCAATTTCCTTCACCCCAGGGGGCGGATCTACCAGAGTCCAGACTCCATTGGTCTTCATTGAGTCAATCTCAACTCTCATTGCATCGACTCACTTCAAGGAATCTATGTCCAACATAACATCCGAATAAGTCATGGGATCCTCCTCATTGAAAGAATGGTAAGATCCATCATATGGACGCCAAAAAGGGTGTGGAATGGGTGGATGAATTTCAAAAGTATCTCCCAATGTCGGTATTCACGCCCAAAGAAACTTCCAAGAACCTGTCCCACTGAAGATGACAGTGATGATGGAGCAGAACCAACAGTGTTCGTCCCACGAACTAGGTCTTTCTGAAAAACTT